ACAAAATCTTGGTGGTTGATGCTAGGATCACCTAGAGATGTTGGACTTGAATTTTTTTACGTGAATATTATTATTTTAGAAGATCTGATCTCCTTCGCCTCTTGTTTATTCGAATGTATTTGAAAACTGCATTAACATAGGAAGTACGAGTCGTGCTTTGGCTTTCTAGACATAATGTTGTAGGAAAGCTTTAGTTGCAGAGGCAATGGCTACTGATCAGAGACGGGCGCTTATTGATGCTCTACGGCCTCTGAATGGAAGAAAGTGTCACTGGATTCAGGTGCAAAAGGGATTGTGCAAATCCTTTTTCAAAGTGGAAGAAGCTGTTTCCAATTGACCACAATCATAGAGGACATTCTTGATCTTCATAAGCTACTCGAGAAGTATCATATGAGAAATAAGGGTAATAAATAACAGTCACATGTTACATTAGCATTTTTTGTAATGAGAACTTCTATGGAATTTTCCTTAATTATATGGTTTTGATTCAAGGATGATAGAAAGACTTGGTTAAAATCTCTCGACAATTGAAAAATTAGAGGTTAATGAAATAAGGCACTGGAGGAACTAGAACTTGACGATTTCGTGCAGCAAGACTAGCAAAAAATTATACTTGTAGGGCATCCTTACATTTTTTGTAAAAAAATTTTTGGGCAAAGTTTAATGTTTCCAAAGATATAAGACATAAAAGGGCATTAAAAATCTTAGAGGAACAACGTCTAATTATTGTAAAGATATAAACCAAATTCTAATTTTAGTTTTTTATTGCCTAAAGTAAGGTAACCTGTGAAGTGGGGGAGCACATTATTTTTTTAGCAAGGAAAACGAGGAGGGGAAGGAACGAATTATTGAAGATCGCTAATTCTTGAAATTTTAAGCTTAATCATTAGACAAAGATCTTCTCAATAGTAAGAAGAGCATGTTCTTCAATCTATAAAGAATATGAAGTGAATTAATATATATGGAAGATGGGGAAATAGAAGACGTACAGAAAGAACGGATTACTCAATCTGTAAAGAATATGAAGTGAATTAATACGAAGGGAGACCAAAGGCGCCTAGGGGCTCATTTTTAGTGTGCTTAACATTTTTTTCGTTACAAGCCCTCAAACTTTTCACTTTCCCTATTTTGAATCGAATTAAGATTCCTAAATTGCAATTGAGCCTATATATTTTAAAAGTTCCATTCTTTTAAACTAGTTTCATGTTTTCTCATCAAAGTAATTATCCATTTCCTTAGATATTTTACTTGATAAATTAAACTTTATCACTACACAATATTTATTTATAGATATTCCTATACTTTGTTTTTTATTTATGAGAGTTCTAAACATTTATGGGGCAAATGCACGACACATTGGGCTTTCGCTTTGCCTCACCTCATGAGACAAAAACCTATCTTGCCTAACATCTCAACCCTTTTAAAACATTGATTATCATCCAATAATCCTTGTTTTGGTGGGAAGGGGGGAGCAAAAGTAGGGGTATATTATGATCAGGCTAACCGTTGCATATTCAAGTTTACATTCATATTTCGACAAGTCTAAAATTATGCTTGAGCTTAGGGCTGCACATGATCTAAGTAGCTCATGAGCTACTCAGTTATGAGCACAACTGAAACTCGATGTAGATCGAGTTCGGGTCAAGGTCGAGCTACTCAAATGAGAAAATGAGTCGAGTTTAATCTTGAATATGTCAAGCTCGTGAGCTTGACGAGGTTATTCAAGTATTTAGTGTTATATTTAATTTATATATTATGTGTTATGAATTTACTATTGTAGGTTTATAAGTTAGATAATTTACGGTATAAACCTCTTTCTCATAACATTATGTTGGAGTGATTTAAACATTTGACAATATAAAATCTAAAAAATATTAAAAGTTAAAAGCTGAATTGAATTTCAGAAACATTTTTTTCTATCACAATTCACAAGTCGCAAGTTCTCAATCCTAATTCCCAAGTTTTCCTCCCTTATTCCAGCTTCTTCTTCTTCAGACGAAATTTGAAAGTCTCCATCTTCATCTTCTTCAAACAGCAAATTGACTGCAACTTCACTTGCTTTGCCGCTACCACTGCTGACCTGAGCTGGAGTTGCATTGCGCCGCTGTCGCTGCCCTGATCTTGAGTTGCAGCTTATCCGAGAGTGGACAGAAAGATGGAATTCGATCAAATACTGAGCCTCAGGCCATTCAAGGAATTTGGGATTTTTGACTGCTTCTGCTGAAGTACTTATTGTGATTATTAGGCTTTGGCTTTGCTAATGGCTACATATCTTGTATTCTTGTTAGTGTATATATAGGATCTTTAATGATGCACGTTATTGTTATAAATAACGTTTTGGGAGGGATTTTATGCAGGATGATAAACTGGAAAAATGGTTTGAGTGTTTGATCTTCAGTTGCAGGAGCGGACTGATTGTGGAAATTTTGGAAATGGAGAGCAGATTTTCAAGCCAGAAAATGGGGCTTGAGCTCGAGTAGCTTGAGCTCAAAAAGGCTAGACAGATTCTTCAGCCTATTCGAGTCAAGCTTGAGCTCGTGTGATGCTTCCAGGAGTCGAGATCGTTTATTTTGCTCGTTCAAGTTCAAGCAGCACCAATAACAATGGAACTTGAGTTCGACCATGTCACTATTTGAAATTGACTCGACTTAACTCGAATGCATCCCTACTTAAGCTTTGATAATTTTTTGAACCATCTCAAACGAGCTTTAATCTAATCAATTAAAAGTTGAGCTTAAGTAGTAAGTCCTGTCAATGATAAAACCAAGATTTCAGCTTCGAGAGGGAGAACAATCGAAAGTATAATTATTGTAAATCCTACTCTTAAATAAGTTATTGCCATCATGCCATGCTTTTTCTTTGTAGTACTAGTTTTTTTTCCTTTAAAAAAAAATCCTATACATCAATACCTAAAAGTAAGGGTGCTATGGTTCCAATATCGCCAATTTGATTAAAAAATGGCCGATTCCATTTACGGATAGTTATAGTTACGGTTTTGAATTTTTTTTGGTCTAGTTCTGATTCCATTTAATTATGGTTATGGTTTTGATTTTTTCTTAATTACACTTAATCACTTATGATCAAGAACCTGATACTAAGAAAATTTAATACTGAATTTAGAATAATGACAAGTAAAGAAATTGGATGTTCAAGAAAATTAAGACACTTAATTTATTTTTAGTTAACAATAAAAAGAAAAAGTGATACAAATTATATGAAAGAAATATACCTCACATTTATTAAACGTTTTAACTAAAATAAACAATACATAGTTTTCTCATCGAAATTGATTTAGAAAGGAAAAAATATTTCAATTTCCCCATTGATATTTGGTTTTTATTTTAAAAGGATGATTTGAGCCTGAATCAAAACATTCAGCACAGTTCTGGCCTTGATTCCTTTTCCACAAAGTCTGTTTCAGTTCAAGCTGGACAAACTGCTGGTCAAGTTCAAGTTTTGCTCTTGATTTAAATCTGAAATGTGGCCATGTCTATCTAAAAACAAACACAACAGCCATGAATCACTTAATTATAAATACACAAGTCATATGATGAACTACCAAATAAATTAATAGCGTAATATATCATACACCATAAAATACTAAATGCAAACTCAGAATAAAGTTAACTGTATAAATGATTAATGATTAAGACATAAAATAGGAAAACTATAAAGCCAAAATAAAAATAAAAAAATTTGCTGGAGTTTTAGCAAGAGCCCTCAAGTATATTCAATAAAATTGGGGAAGAGTTGAAGCTTGGATTTGATTCGATGAATTTGGGAAAGAATTGAAAGATTAAAAGTCATTAATTGGTGTTTAGTTTTACATTATTTTAGTTGATGTTAATTCAAATAAATAGAGTTTTAGCACTAGCTGCCTTCTCTTTTCTGCGACTTTGTTTCATATTTATGTAGCGTTTCCTTCATCCTAGTTGTCATTCTAAAGTTAGAGTTTGCTTGCTATATATAGGAGGCTTGAATAAAGAGGAATTAAATGGAATAACTGGCCATAAACATATTGGGGGTAAAGTAACATAGGCCTTATTCTCACATGATTTTGGAAACCTAATTCTACTTTTTGATTTTTGAAAAGCTATTTTTTATTGTGTTTTCAACTGATTTTGAAAACCTAATTTAAATTTTTTTTTGAATCCAGAAAAACTGAAAATCAAAAGTAGGTCTTGAGATGCTTTTGGATTCTGATTCTGGTTCACTTTTTCATGCAGACAAAAATACCATTCAAATTTCAACATAATTACTAAACAATCTAAAGATTTGATATTTTTTATGATGTCTCTAATTTCTTCCTACTCTTGTTTGACTTCGAGATTCATCTATCAGCTGTTCCTTCTTTTGGTCATCCAATATTCAATCTTCACAAAGAAAAAGAGCAATTACATCAAAAATCATTTAATTAGCATAAAGATTTATTCATGTGGCATATAAAGCTAACATTGTCATCTTTTTGGTCAAAACCAACTTTTTTAACTTTTTTTAAATTACCTATGCATTTATTGAAATAGAATTTCTAACAATAAACGAGAACACACAAGTCGTTCGTTCTAAAAGATCTAATTTTCAAGAACCAATTTTACAAAATCAAAATCAGTTGAGAACAAAATATGAAAAATCAAAATCCAGTTTTAAGAAGGTTGAGAAGTCGTTGCGAAAAGTTGAAATATAGAGATACTGTTGGTAGGCTATTTGTGAAAGTTTCGACGAGCACCATTAGAATCTGACAAAAGATTAATTATACGACATAAAAACTACTGTCAAAGAAATAAAGATAAGAGCAGGTGTCGGATATATTTTGTTAAAAAAAAAATATCAACTTGGATTATTTGTAAATACTTAAAATTTTGCTTGACATTGAAATTTGTAATCTACCCTCTTTCGTTGGCAGAAGAAAACAATCTTTAAAAAAAAAAAATTTTGAAACTGCCAATTTTTCTCACACGAGTACCGAAGACTAGAGTCAACAGCCACTTCTCTCCCAGCACATGATATCTGATGAAAATGGCTGTCGAGGTCAGGACCATTCGCCTTTGGTTTCTACCAGCAAGGCAATGTAGCAATGAGACATGGAATATTTTGAACAACTATAATCATTTCAATTGAATTTTAGTTCCATGGAGAAAAAATATTCCAAGTCTGATAGAGAAATAATAATAACGTAGCAATCAGACAGAAAATTTTTGAAATTACAATCACCATTCCAAGTTCAGGTGTTGGATATGTTTTCTGGAGGAAAGCGATATTTGCACTCTTTAATTAGTTTCTAGCATTTCTTGGATGCTATATTTTTAGTGAGTAAATTGGAGCGGGCAAGAGGGGTAAATGAGGAGTGCAAATGTTAATAAGCTATTTCATTGGGGTACTAATCAAAATCAAGTCCTTAGGAGTAAGATTACTAAGTCAAGTTTTGCGATTATGAGTTACCATTGTCAATAGTCCTCTAAAGTTAATAAGAAGGATCTTTATACCTTTGATCCATAATAAGACTCCCATGAGTATTGCACACGATATTAAGAAAGATTTCGATTATATAGAATGTTATAATTGTATGAACGAGGACAAACTTATGCCAAGACCAAGAAAATAAACTCTCAGTAAAACTGACAATAATTACCTTAGCAACTTTGCTGACTAAGCCAAGTTTTAGACTTGTGACTTGATTTTCATCTAAAGTCTTTTTGGTTGGCTTTATAAGGAATTCTACTCACATCATTGCAGATTAAAGAAAAGGAACAAAGAAAACTGTATAATTGGAATTGATGCCGTTTTATTAAACTTAACGATAAATTACAAATAACTCTTTTGTGATTCCATCTATTACCACATGACCCATCCTGATGTTTCAAAATATTCATTTTACCCCCTATTATTTCACGTACGTTAGATATTTGACGAAAAATAATCTATACAATGTCGTTAGTTGAAATACCAATAATGCCATTACTTAATTGCTAAATCAAACAACAACTTAATCACCTTATATAAAACCACATAAGGATTACATGGATAAATGCAAAAATTACAATGGGTAAAGTGGATATTAATGCAAATTATAAAGAAATTAAGTAGATGTTATGATACAGCACTTTTGGAGCGCTCTCAAATAATTGCTGTAACTAATTGTGCATTCTATCAATTTTTCTACTTTACATAAAACTATAGCGGAATCATATAGCTATTTTGAAACTTTAAAGGGGCCATCTAACATTATGCAAAACCACAAAGGGGTTATATGTAATTTAACCTATACTTGATGACAATCCAATCCAAGTGGTCCACCGTAATTCACAAGGCACCGAACTTTCCTTCTTGCCAACTGGCAGGAAATTGCATTTGGGGTCCCGAGACTCCTCACTATTCTATAATTCTACAGAGTGAATCACTCTTGATTGGAAAAGTATTTTGAAGGACCTAAGACCAGAATACAGTACATTTACCTCCAGTTTTTTGGCATGAATAATGAATTTACACAATTTTTTTGAAGGAGTCAATTTTCGGGTAAACGATAATTTGATTAGAAATAATTTGATTTCACATCTAAATTAGCATGCTGATTTTACCTCTCTAAAAACGCTTGCTTATGTCAATGATTATTAATCACCCATATCATATCCAGAGTTAAAAAGCAATCCAACTTGGAAATGGTGAGCCTGGACCAAAGGAGGAATACAGTTGCTGAAGGAACCAGAATTCAGATTTGGTAATAAAATTGATAAAGAAGTAAGCATACCTTAGGGGGCAAGAATAATCAGGACGTATTAAAGTTTAGGCATAAAGCACTTCACATCTCAGTCTCGCAACTGCTTTAAAGCTCATCATTTTGATCTCTATTAACTGCTCATTCCAAGTTCAGAACAGGGTTATAATATCCGGCTCAAACAGCTGCAAACTACACAAATAATACCAAGAAATCTACCATTGTAAATCTGATGAAAATTATATCAAGCACGATTGAATTCTACAAAGTTATATTTACCCCAAATGCCAACAGGCATCTGCCTACTGCAAAATTCTTTCACGTGGGAAAGCCAATCCACGCAAAATTTCCACCACTGCCAACTTTGATGAAGTCTGAGTCCAAGTCATGCAATGACTTGGACTCAAGCACTATTCCTGTGAAATCAAGATAATCATATTTATCAACAACATGAAAATTCTTCACCGCGGGTTTTACGTCTAGCAGGACTTCAATACTTCTTTTGCAATGAAAAATCTTCTATAAATTGCAGCTTAGACATTCAAAATTGTTATCCCCTCCAATTTGGAAACACCAGAATTAGAAAAAGAGAGAGAAAAAAAAGTCCACATAAAACGAGCAAATATCCTTTTCTCAAACATCATGGCTGCCCTTTTGTTCTTACTCTTTTTGTCTGCATTTTCCTTAGCAGCTGCTCGAATTAGCCCGAGTTCTACTCTTACACCCACTGGCAAGAACTCATCATGGTTGTCACCTTCAGGGCTTTATGCCTTTGGGTTCTATCCCATAGGCAATGGCTATGCTGTGGGAGTTTTCCTCAATGGAATTCCTGATTCCCTCAGAGGAATTCCTGATAAGACCGTAGTATGGACAGCCAATAGGGATAGTGCCATTCATCCACTGAATGTTACACTGGTTCTAACCAATGATGGAAGGCTAATCCTGCAGCAGTCACCAGGCCAAGAAGTAGACATTGTCAATCTTGCTGAAGACAAGATTGCTTCAGCTTCTATGCTAGATTCAGGAAATTTTGTCCTGTACAATTCTGCTAACACCACCATATGGCAGAGTTTTGATTATCCAACTGACACCCTTTTACCCACTCAGCGTCTTATAACTGATGACGGGCAAGGTCAGGGGCAGCTGTTTTCAAGTGCTTCAGAAAATGATCCTTCAACAGGGCCTTTCCGCCTAATTATGCAGCAAGATGGAACCCTGGTGCAATATCCTACAGATGCACCGAGTTTAGATCCATATGCTTACTACTCATCATACACTAATAATGGCGGGCCGCATGTGACCCTGAATCTTGACCCAAATGGATATCTCTACCTGTTGAGGGACAATGGCACCATAATATTCAATGTCACTCAAGGATTCCCCGATCAGAAAACAATCTATCGCGCAACCATTGATGTGGATGGTATTTTTCGGCTATATTCATATTCTCTCCAGTACAAAGACAACTGGATCGTCAGGTATAACACTACATCAAATAAATGTGATCCCAAAGGCATATGCGGACTCAATGCCTTCTGCAGCAATGTAGATACTGAAATCGAATGTAAGTGCATTCCAGGATTCGATTTTATTTCTCCAGGCGACTCCAGCTCAGGGTGTCAGAGAAATTTTTCACAAGAGGGATGTCAATCCCCGAAAGAAAGCCTCGGATTCACAATGACGCCAATACCAAACACACTTTGGGAAAATGCCTCATATGACACATTCAAGACAAGCATAAGACAAGAATGCGAACAGGCTTGTCTAAACGATTGCAACTGTGGGGCAGCGTTATTTGGAGATGGTGGGTGCAGCAAGCAAAGGCTTCCATTGAAATATGGGAAAAGAGTGCTGACTAATCCAAAAGTTGCTCTTGTGAAGGTGGGGATGCCTGGTTCCCCAGTTGGAGGTGGTTCGAGCTATCCCCAATTACACCCCAAGAAAAAATTGCGTCTGGATATCTTAATCATCAGCATTTCACTTCTTGTTTTTGCCCTGGTGATTCTTGTAATTTCTGGGGTTCTTATTCATATACATCAATTAGGTGCTCACAAAAACATGTCCAGATATAAGAATGCTGAACCAATGGGCGATGTTGCTCCACGGGCATTCACCTATGCAGAACTAGAGCGGGCAACAAATGACTTCAAAGAAGAGCTGGGACAAGGAGCATTTGGAACTGTTTACAAAGGTATGCTGATGGATTTCCAGAAGGCAGTCGCCGTAAAAAGACTGGAGAAAGTATTAGCTGAAGGGGAAGCAGAAAGGGAGTTCCATAATGAAATGGCAGTGATTGGAAAAACACATCATCGTAATCTTGTCCGGTTACTTGGTTACTGTGCTGATGGACCTAAGAAGCTTCTAGTGTATGAATACATGAGCAGCGGATCATTGGCAGATGTCCTTTATGCCAAAGAGAACCAGCCCAACTGGGATGAAGGGATTAAAATTGCTTGTGACATTGCAAGAGGTATTCTCTACTTACATGAAGAGTGTGAGACACAGATCATCCATTGTGACATCAAACCTCAAAATATCCTCATGGATGAACACAGATGTGCAAAAATCTCAGATTTTGGCCTAGCAAAGCTCTTAAAGCATGATCAGACCAAAACTTTTACTGCGATCAGAGGGACAAAAGGCTATGTTGCACCGGAATGGCATAAAAAATTGCCAGTGACAGTTAAAGCAGATGTGTACAGCTATGGGATTGTGCTGCTCGAGATCATATGTCGCCGAAAGAACATTGATTGGAGCTTCCCCGAGGATCAAGCTATCCTTGAAGAATATGCTTATGATTGCTTTGAGGCTCAAGAGTTGCATAAATTGTTAGCTGATGATGAGCTTGTTAACATGAGACAACTGGAAAGAATGATCAAGATAGCTATCTGGTGCATCCAAGGAGAGCCCTCACTTCGTCCCTCAATGAAGAAAGTTCTGCTAATGCTAGAAGGGACAGTAGATATCCCAATACCACCAAATCCTACTTCTTTTCTCAGTTCTACCTAGCACAACAGTTTCTTTCTTTTGTTATGCTTTGTTCAACTAGTGTCAAATGTAATCCAGTATTAGATAAATGCGATGCAGCAATAAAAGAATTGCTTTACAATACCTCTTTTAAAATATTCCTCATAATTCACAGTCTGAACTTAGATTTCTACTAAAACATTTAATGTTTTCCTGCATGTAACTATATTCAATTTGCAAGCATATCAATGTACTGGGATATTAGCTGCATATTCCCATCCCTTTTCAAAGAGTCCAATATATAGGGATGATTAACGTTATAATTCAATTGTAATATGTAGATTTTGATGGTTCTGCAAGAACATAAACCATGATCAAAGTTTACAAATCAAACATTTAAACACCCTATAACTTACACTTTACCACCGAGTTCATATCATTAGCAGTTTACACCACAAGACTAACGATCAACTATCATCGCTTATTTTCCATCTAAGAAAACAATAGAAAGTCTTTAATCCCCTATACCATTATCTGCATTCTCCTTCACACCCCCCCCCCCCCCCACAAAACACACAAAAAAAAAATTTCTTCTCAATTGTGAATTATAAATCACTTATGGTGTTCAACAATTTTTCAAGGCAAGCGGCCAACTCTTTGCCGATTGGTCTGCTGGCTTTAACAGTTTGCCCTAGCTAATAATATAAATATGTCCACGATGTAACCAACATTGATAACTCTACCAAGTTCTCACAGAAATGGCTTCCAATATATTCTTTCAACTAAACCGATAATTCTTGTATAGGTGTGATTCCTAGTCAAATGTACATTTTCATTATGACAATACTGCCCTAGAAAATTACACTCTGCAAGATAATAAGATAATAAGATTGAAAGGAAACGAGGATTGGATGAGAAAGAATAGTGTTAGTCTCAATTCCAATCAATACTTGATCGAGAGAAGGGTGACAGGTGGCAAGCAGATGACATCTTAGAAGTGCAACCATCAGCAACTAGTGGAAGGCAGAAGAGTCAAAGTAATAACTCAAGGAGGACAAATTCATGGCAGTATCACCAGCCACTTACTAATCCTTGATTTTATTGATATCAAACTCTTACTGACAGAATATGTGTGAAAATTTGAAACATATGTTGGGCATACACACTATGATGACATACCATGCATCAAAGCAGAAATGAACTCCAATATCAAACTCAAGCAAAATAGCTCTGACAACACCTTCAGCCAATTACTAATCCTTGACTGCATGGAAATATAAAACTCTGATCCTACAGAAAGATATGTTAAATAGAAAGATATGCTGGCCATACATCTTAATATGCAATTGTGTAAAACTGGATTTCAATATCACAATCACATATGTACAAGAATCCTACCACTAAAAATCCCCAAGCATCTAGTGCTCATTTATCATTGGCAGAAAGAAGTACAAAAACGAACTAGATATGTAGCTTCCATGAGAAAGCTGAAATACAAGATAGTGCACCATACTCAAGTCTTGAAGATGGAAGAAGTACACAGAAATATCAATTAAAAAACTGTATGAGATAACCCCATTGTAAGGAAATGACCTGCTACCGCCGTACTTTCAAAGACCTGCTACCGCCACAAACCAGAAACTGTCATCAGATACCTCATAATACCAACATAATTAGAAAGCCTCAGAGGCACATTGCTTATTCATCGTAGTGTCATGGTGAAAGAGCTGAAACAAACTACCTTTTATTGGCCCTTTAATACTTTGTCAAGCGCATCAAACACACCCTGTAAAGTTACTTCCTCTACAACCACAACCTTGTCCCGTGATTTCAAACCAGAGCCTATAGAAACTTGTCTTCTTTTGACCCCTACCACCTGTTGACGAAGGAAAATCAACTCTTAATATCGCCTATCAGAATGTATCCAGTCCTTTGAATCTACCAAATCTATATTTTTTATTCAATGCAGCCATCTGAAAATTAACATCAACCTAAATTCGTCCAATCCTCAGGATACATAAATGCATTCTAGCAACAAAAACCAAGCTAGTTTAACGTTATGCACTGCTGGTTAACCTCGTACATTTGTTAGAATCAGTTAAAACACTCTGCATTCAATTCATCATTTTCCGAATTATTTTTCGCATTTACCAACTTCAGAAACATATAATCATAAGATGTACATCGTATCAACAAATTTCCTACACAGATACTTAAATCAACTTGATTAGCAACTTCATAAGCAATAATCCTCCAGAGTTTAGGCCAAAAGTTCCTTCTTATCCAGGCCATGCAATAGAAGTAAATAAAAATTCTCAAATCAATTGAAAAAATAAAA